GTTCTTCCTCTGACCAACCCTCCCGCTTGAGTCCTCTTGCTACCCGATACCAAGCCTCTACGGCTTTCGTCAACCCATTATCCAATAGCAAGCCCTCTTTATCAATAAGCAATTTCCTCCAAAACTCTGGTTGTAATCTACCACCGGGTGACATTTGAAAACCACAAATCTTTGCTATCTTCTTTATTTTTAACATAGCCTCTTCTCCTGCTCTCTCCTTAACAATATCACAAGATAAATAGCCTTTGGAAGGTCTGGCGTGTTCTTGTCCCATTTTTACCAAACAAAGCTTTCCCTGTAAGAGGGACAGAGAGAAAGAGAGAAAAAAGAAGGAATGTCTACAGTGCTCGACTGCCACGAGGAATTGATCCCCGTGCATCTTCCCTAAACATAGACTAGTCATAGGATCCGCCCACCCGAGATGGTGGCCATGGATCTGAGCGGGCGAGCGTGGGTGACTAACACAGCTCTGGGCAACAAGTACAGGAGAGGTAGAGAATAAGGGAAAAGGTGAACGTGGAGAGACTAATCAGAAGACATTTACAGGAGTCACAGATGTAGAGATCCGCACATAATCCGGAATCAAGGACAAGCCACACAACACACACACACAGTGGCGTACACATGACCCATGGGGCCCCGGTGCGAAAATTGATCCGTGGGCCCCCCCCGGCGTGCGGGCCGGGCTGCAACACATGGCGGTGGGCACCTGGTCGCAGGGGTTACAGGGCTGCGACCCCTGCGACCGCGGTATGTACGCCAGTGCATGCAGATGCACACACACTTAAAGGACCACTCTAGGCACCCAGACCACTTCAGCTTAATGAAGTGGTCTGGGTGCCAGGTCCAGCTAGGGTTAACCCATTTTTCATAAACATAGCAGTTTCAGAGAAACTGCTATGTTTATGAATGGGTTAAGCCTTCCCCTATTTCCTCTAGCGGCTGTCTCATTGACAGCCGCTAGAGGCGCTTGCGTGCTTCTCATTGTGATTTTCACAGTGAGAGCACGCCAGCGTCCATAGGAAAGCATTATGAATGCTTTCCTATGTGACCGGCTGAATGCGCGCGCAGCTCTTGCCGCACGTACGCATACAGCCGACGGGGAGGAGAGGAGGAGGATCAGAGGAGGAGAGCTCTCCGCCCAGCACTGGAAAAAGGTAAGTTTTACCCCTTTTCCCCTTTCCAGAGCCGGGCGGGAGGGGGTCCCTGAGGGTGGGGGTACCCTCAGGGCACTATAGTGCCAGGAAAAAGAGTATGTTTTCCTGGCACTATAGTGGTCCTTTAAAGGACCACTACAGACACCCAGATCATATCAGCTCAATGAAGTTGTCTGGGTGTCAGGTCCCTCTAGTTTTAACCCTGCAGCTGAAAACATAGCAGTTTCAGAGAAACTGCTATGTTTCACTGAGGGTTACTCCAGCCTCTAGTGGCTGTCTCACTGACAGCCGCTAGAGGAGCACACTGAACGTCCATAGGAAAGCATTGAGTAATGCTTTCCTATGGGCGGTTTGAATGCGTGCGCGGTCTCATTCGGAGCTGAGAGGCTGAGGGATCCCCAGCGCCAAGGGAGTCCGGCGCTGGAGAAAGAAGTGCTGAAGACACACACACTCTCACTTACAGACGCATACACACTAGCTAACAGAGACACACTCAGCGACAGACATACATACACACTCACACACTCACTTACAAAACATTCACTCTCATTGACAAACACACTCACTAACAGACATCAAACAGACTCACTAAGACACACACACTAACACTCACTCTAACACTCACTCTAACACTAACACTCACTCTAACACTAACACTCACTTTAACACTAACACTCACACTAACACTCACACATGTTTTTTTGTTTTTTTTAATATAATCCCCCCAGCCTCCTTACCTTTTGGAGTGCTGGAGGGATTCCCTGGGGTCCAGTGGTGCTGCTGGGCTCCTGGGCGGGTGGCCAGTCGGGCAGGCAGGCAGGCGGGCGCGCGAGGTTGCACTCAGTGCTTCCTCTTCAGCATCCTCGCGCGCCGCGTAGGGATGCCGGAGCCGGAAGATGACGTCATCTTCCGGCTCCGGCATCAGTGCGGTGCGCGAGGGAGCTGAAGAGGAAGCAATGAGTGCACCCTCGCGCGCCCGCCTGCCCGACCGGCCACCCACCCAGGTGTGTGTGTGACAGCAGGGTCAGCCTCGGGGGCCCTGAGGTGGCCAGCTCCTGGGCCCCCCAAGGGAAGAGGCTGGCCCTGTGGGTACATACCAGGTCGCAGGGGCGGCCGGGCCCCCTGGTGGGGCGGGCCCGGTCGCAGCCGCGACCCCTGCGACCCTGGTATGTACGCCACTGCACACACACACAACCAGGGTACCAACACTGTGACTACAACTGAATAGAAAACATAATATAACAAAGAACAGTATAACTACGAACATAGTAACAACTAAACGGTAAATAAACCCTGTTCTACTCTGAACAGTACAGCAAAATTCCCAGCCTTTCTCTAGGCGGATCCATTCCCTGCCCGCTAGGCAGTCAAGCTATAATAAATCGCCAGCCTTTCTCTAGGCGGTTCCCAGCCCTTCACCGGGCGGACAATATTCCCAGCCTTTCTCTAGGCGGTTCCTAGCCCTTCACCGGGCGGACAATGTTCCCAGCCTTTCTCTAGGCGGTTCCCAGCCCTTCACCGGGTGGATGCGTTCCCTGCCCGCTAGGCAGTCAAGCAATAATAATAAAGTATAAACCACACATCAGCTGTCTCACACGCATACATACACTCAGGAGGCAGATAGACAATCGACAGGTTCGTTTTAAGAGGAGACAGACCGACACAAAACAGGAGAATACAGGCAAACCACTGTATTTAGGAGGTGATCAGGCTCCGGTTGTCCCACTTTCCGGGGGTCCGCTCCGGTCCCAAATGATGTGGAATCAATCAATAAATTGATTATCTTGCGTATATGCCCCCGGCCAAATTAATAAATAATGCGTGCACACTCCTAAAGTAATTCACACCAGACACAGGCTTCGGGTTAATGAAAAACTTGAGGAATGTTTATTCTGAGGGGACGGCATGTCCCTTATAAAGCAAAATTACATCATCTGCATTGTCAGAGATAACATGGAATAATACATCAATAATTGGTTAGGTGTTAAGTGGTTCATTTAGTGCTCTTCCTACCGGGTGTGATGTCACTGGTATCTTGGAGTTTTCCCCCAGATTCCAGCGCCATCTTGTTAATGAGGGTGTTAGTCGATGTCAAAGGGAAACTCCCTAGCGGCCATTTTAGGTAAATCACATAGAAAGTTGAATAATGCTGATTGTAGTTATACTGAGTAAATAGGCATTTTACCAACATGGACTGGGTTAATATCTTTGTCCACAACAGTTACCTTAATTACTGCAGTACACCAGGGACCGCTGTGGGCCTGTATCAAAGTAAGTGTCCCCACCCCTGGCTGTGGCACTGGAGGAGAGAAGAAAGAGAGAGAGAAGGGAATGAGAGGGTGGAGAGATGAGGTAAGGTTATCTGTGAAAAAACACCTGTCAATACAGTGTTACACTAAGTCAATGATTTAAATGCGTTAAAAAAAATAAACTAAAAACAAACTAGTGTCTAATCGCACAATACAGTAATACAATAATCAGTATTCCTACTGTTTTTCCAGGTCTTACTATTTGCCAGGAGCTATGGGGGTGGGCGTCCACCACGTCAAGGGAATCACCTTAAACAGGGGGGAAGTTCAGCCTGGTAGCACCCTGGCAATGCCCAAGTAGGTTAGTGGAACAGCCCTAGTGGTTGTGGTAGTCATTGAGTGGAGATAGCCCGTATGGGGCTTGGGGAGTTTGAATGGTCCCATGAGAAATGTCGGGGGAGTAAGCATATCAATGCGCCCGTATGGGGGAGGGCTTCTCGGGGGCTTTGCAGGGGTCAGGGTACAATGAGAATATCCAATTCTGTTCAGCTCAGACCGTCCCCTCCTATAACAGGGTTGGATTATTCAGTTGGTAAGTCAACATCACAATACAAATAAAACATGTTACTATTTACATCATACCCAAGGATTATGATCGTCTCTTCCCTTCATATGGTACTTTGGTGGTTTCTTCCCTTCCCTATCCCGCCCGCCACCCCGATCATCTTAAGCACTAGGCTTCTGGGTGTGAGTGCCTTTTAGCTACTGATGTCTGCCTGTGTGTAATCTAATTCAGCTGCTTTTTTTTTTTTTTTTTTCAGGTCTGCGCATGCTGGCGTGTGGCCAGTAAGTTATTGATTAGGTTGGCATTACCTAGGCCCTAACGTTGGGCTATTGGGAAATATTTGTGTGGGCACCATCGCGGGGGGAGATGCACTCCACCCTGTCCCATATAAATTTTCTCCCCAGGTAGGCACTTGACAGTACTAACTATACTAAGGGTTACAGCAATATGCTCCCAGAAGAAGTCATAACATTCCCTCAAAGTAAACAGTTAGTAGTATGAGCTGGAAAGAAAGAGAGAACCACGTGGAGTTTTAAGTCTCTGTGTAACTTGCGTGTGGCCTTGGCTTAGGCCCCTGCGTCATTCTGTGAGCAAGATCAGTTATACATATATCTGTAGATGGTAGGAGTACTGCAGGTATAGGGCCGAATCTGAGGCCGTTAGTGCGTAACGGATCATTAGTGCGTAGCAGGTCCGTTACCGGCCTCCACTCCCTCCTCCGGAGGAGTGTTGCTGGAGCAATGTCTGATAGAGCTGTATACCAGATCCATAGATTTCAAACGTCGTTGTTCTGCCGATTCGGAGTATGGCTTCTTTGGTTTTAAAGTAGTGCCATTTCATGATTACGTCTCTTGGGGGGCTGTGTTCAGGTCCCTGGGCCCGGAGGGCTCTGTGCACCCTATCTAACAGCCAGAGGTGTTCTGGGATGTCTGGGAGTTTTTGTCGGAAGCACATTACCAGAGCCTTCACCAGGTCTGCCTCTTCAACGGTTTCTGGTAGGCCTCTGATGTGCAGGTTGTTGCGCCTCGATCAGTTGGAAACATCCTCTAATTCCAGCTCAAGGTCAGTGATCCTGTGGAGCAGACTATTGGTGAGAGCTGTGGCAGAGTTATGAGCTATAACAACATACTCCATGCGCTGCTCAATAATAGCGGTCCTGGCCCCTATGGCTGTGATTTCGACTTTGACCTCCGCCGCTGTGCGTTTGATTTCCTCCGCTAGGTATCCCTTCACCTCCGCCAGGTAGTGTAATATGGCATTGGAGGATGCTTCAAGGGAGGGGTCCTTCAATTGGGGGGGGTTACGTTGCTCTGGTCCGGTGGGGCTGGCGGCAGCCGGCACGCCACACAGTGTAGGCCTCTGTGAGGTGAGCATGTCCGCCACCGATGGAGCTTCTTTCTGGTTCTTTTTGGTGGGTCGGCGGTTGGACATCCGGACCCCGTCTCCGTTGTCGGTTGTAAGTTGTTTGGGGAACGATTGTCTTCGGTTCTACCAGGGCTGTTGCAGGTTACAGTGCTTAATTATGGGCATTGGGTGCGGAGCTCTCGAGCTATGCGGCCATCACGGTCGGCAGTCAGACCACGCCCCCATATTTGTGCTATATTGGTGGTACATGTTATATCATATAAATCAATTTCTAACCCACAGCCATTGCAGTCATCGATGACATGAATCCTGTTAAAATTCTGTACTTGTGTTATTCAGTGTGCCAACAAAACATCTAGATGTATATTATGTATATGAATAGGTAGTTATGGATATGTATGTTTACATATCCCTTACAATTGAGGTTCTGGTTACATGAGTGCTCTCTCGGTCATAAAGCTTTTTTTCTGCCACATTCTATAACAGCACGTACTGTAGCCAGACCCAGATTTAGCTACGATGTTGAAAAACTATTGCTCATTGATTTTCTAGCCATTCGGCTTGCATAATATAAAAAAGATATAGACTATTTCAACTGAACTTCAAAATCTTGTTTTTGTACAATCTCTTTAATTCTAAACTAGGCTTGTAACAAATAAAAACACATTTAAACAGGCTGAAACCTTGCCTAAAAATTAATAAATAAATTAAATGTCTTCTGAAATTTAACTGTACTCCCTATGGTAGAATGTTAGATTTGTTTCTTTGGATATTCCTAAGTCCTGGAACACGTCTTGTTTATCAGCTTTTATAAATCCCATGTGTACACTTTGCAAACCAACTACAAGCAAAGCTGGTCAAAGGAGAATGATATTTTCATGCACATAAAGTGGTTGAGTATCCAGATATATTGCATTTGGCTCTCTTAAAACAATATTAAAATGAGCTTACTCTTCAGAGTAATGATCATTCTATTACAGGAAATGGTCCTTTTAAACTGGACTGTGTTTCCAGCATCTTGCTTGAATATAACGTATAAATATTCAAAGGAATAATGGTTTCCTCCTTACCTGTAATATAACAGCCTTCAAATAATATTTAATTTATATAACTTTTTCTGATCATTTAAAATGCCATATTACAGGATTGTTACAAAAAAAAGCAAAACAAAATTTCAAATATGTGTTTCTGCAATATTATTTTTCTTAATTGTCAGTTTTTTAATTATTATCTAGAAGTCTGTAATTACTTCATTAACTAAAAAAAATCTGGAAAATATAGATATATTTTTAAACACAAGACTAAAACTAATGAAGAATGAAAAGTATGTTGCTCCAGTATTCTCCAGACACACTTCTCAGCTAATTATGACCTCAATGTAATATTTTTGAATAAACTTTTCAAATGATTTAATATTTTTTAGATAAACTTTCTCAACAAGAAAAGCCAAAAAACCTGGAAGTCATTCTGAGACTTACCTTTATGAGGCAGCAATTGACCAGTTATTTTAAATTCGCCTCATATTTTCACCTCATAGTTTATGCAGCTTATATCCAGGTTATAATTACCAGTACATGTACATTTTGTTTTTCTAATCACATATTCTCCTAATGTTCTGCGTGCTCATACATTCTACTACCATTCTTTTTATATTCCACACTACACAATTGGCAACCACATTATTTTTTTTCTTCTCTCTCTTTTCGTTCTAGGAGCGAGGTCAAGGCACATACAGTGTTTGGTTAAACCTTTTCTAACAGCCTATGGATATCTGCAGGTAAAACTTTGCTTAACCATTTATTTTTAACAGTTTTATTAAACTATTTTACTAAGTTACTTAGCACGTAGCCTTATTAAGCTGAGTAATTTAGAACCAAAAATAGTAGACGAAAAAAGTAGACCACCAATAATAAATTCACCATATCATGATAGGCCTGTGCACTGGGTTTGACAGTTACCTGTGGGAAGTTCAAAAATCTCTCCTGATTGGCCAGCAACCCTCACCTTGGGTGTGTTGTTGGCCCATGCTAGATCACTTGTTTTCCCAGGCAGAGAGAGAGCATTACACAGAGTTAGTGCATAATAACCATGATTGCACACCCTCATGCAGTATGCTGCCCATGCCTATGACTGTTTGCATAATTGCAACCTTTTTCATTGTGTTTCCCTTCTAAGAAAAAAACAAAACAGTTAATTAGTTCAGACCGTTTTCCTTAAAATAAAAAACCCTCCATTTTCAGGTTTAATTGTAGAGGTGGCACTTCAAAATAAATAAGTTGATTTTGTGATGTAGTTTGAGCAAGCAATCGTCAGTGATCTATTTATTGTGAGGAATTTTGCCTCCTTTCATGGGTCTTTATTATCATCAATTACTGACATGTCTTGTAGTAATATGTCTTTCACCTCTTTATGCACGTATCACATTGTATGTGTATTTTGTACTCGAGATCTATATCAGGGGGGAAAAATGACCAAAATATGTTCAGCTACATCCCCTGAGTAAATGAATGTCCCTATTTATACCATTGACATGCCATTGAAGTTTTATTTATTTATTTATTAAATGTTTAGGTAGATTTGCTCATTTTCAAATTGGAACCATCTCAAAACTGAATAATATTCATTTGTCTGTGGAGACCATCCATATCTGTAATGGTGTGCTCACTGTGCGTACATCTTGCAGCAACAAATGATAAGTGAAGGTTTGCAAGGGGTAGCTTCTTCAGTGATGTCATAGTCCAGTAATGATCAGAGCACCAGCATCACAATTAGTCAACTTGGTAATGGGCCACCTCTGGTGGGGGTACTAACCACTGACTGACTTGCTGGATGCTCATGCAGGAGAATCGAGGACTGGAGAAGCAATACCAGTGCTCACCAGGCAATCAGAGCACTGGAATCGATGCCAGAATCTGCCCTTTAAATTTCTTGCTTTTCAGTATTTCCCATGGACATCATAAGAAATGCTGTTTGTGAGTTATTCATGGTTGAATTACTGAGTACCAATGCTATCTTTTTTTTTTCTTCATAGAAATGAATCCAAAGCACTTTATTCTCTGTATACTCATATTTTAACTGACTAAACAGTTGAGTGATATGTTTCCATAGATATAAATGTATCCAGCACAAAATAAAATTATGGCATTGTATGATTAGAAGACATTCAGAACACCAAAGCCACTTGCCTGTGGTGTTGACTCAAAACAATCGTGACTGATAGTTGCCTAGTACATTTGCAAGATAATCTGGTCCCGGGGCTATAAAATAATGAATTAGCACTGTCTTGGATGTATGTATTTATAATACACGTTGCCAGACTTGATGCTTTAATGAAAAATAAATCATTTTCTTCTTCTGCCCCAACATGAATAGACTACTTGTAATGACCATTATAAGTTACGGTTGCATATACACAAAAAATAAAAAAAATGTTATGTCTAACAGCTGTGGAATCAAACATTACAATGATGATAGAAATTACATTTAAGAGACACATGATAATGAGATTAAACTTTGCAGTTCTTTGTATTTATGGTTTTTGTCTTGGAGAAAAAGGAAATCCTGGCAATTATTTGAAACATCTGAATATGATAAAATGTGGGAAAGAGATCAAATCTACAAGAAAGTAAGAATTATTGGGCTACATTCTATAACTAAAGTAGATTATAAATTATGTTGCACCAATATTAAAGTATTGGTTCTATTTAAAGTAACTCTGATATGGTTCAATTGTAGGGACGTAAATTAAGATTTAGGTGCAATGTAAATAAAGTACAATTTTATGATAAACAGATCTAGTTATATTGCATGATTTTATAAAATTTACAATATCCTTAAATTTAGTTTTTTTTTTTCTTCTGTTGTTTTACACTGCATGCTGTGCTATTTTTTTTTTAAAAATAAGTGACTTGTCTTTATACATTAGTCATTCATTTCTCTTACAGCACATTAAGAATCGCTCAGAGAGCACAGATCGCTAGAGTCATGCATTTGTCAAGACATTCCAACAACGTGAAAACATTTTTTTGAAGCACATCTCTTACAAGTTGAATTTCGAACAGAAAAGAATGACAAAATTTGCCAAAAATTAGTGGAATTGTAATAACATGTCCTTGCTCACACATCTTTTTAAACTGGCTGTTGTTTTCTTAATATTTAAGAGGTGTGTTCATTAAACAGAGTTGACAATTAGAGATGTCGCGAACCATTCGCGAACTTCCTGCGAATGGCTCGCTGTGGTTCGCCACGAACTGTTCGTGGCGAGCTCCGGTCAGCTGACACATCCCGGCCAATCTCCAGCAGACCCTCCCTCCCAGATCCTCCCACCTCCTGGACAGCATTCATGTTGAAGGCAGCTTCAACATGGATGCTGCCCAGGAGGTGGGAGGGTCTGGGAGGGAGGGTCTGCTGGAGATTGGCCAGGATGTGTCAGCTGACCGGAGCTCGCCGCGAACGGTTCGTGGCGAGCCGTTCGCGGGAAGTTCGCAACGGTTCGCGACATCACTATTGACAATAGGCTTGCAAAATTTAGTAAAAAAAAAGTGTCAGGTTGAAGAGCATCTATTTCTTAGAAGGGCTAATGAGTTTTTCCAACATGGTTTTTTTGCCATAAACTTTTATTTTTATTAATAGAGTAAATCTTTATACATGCAGATCTAAAACAGAAATTTAAATTCTAATCCTCCACAGGATTTTCAGAGTGAATTCAAAATTAAGGCTAAGCAGCCCGTGGTCTCAATACCAAACTTGTTACAAGCGTTCGCCAAGTATGCAACGTGTCCAACCTGAAACTGAATCTTGACAAGTCGGAAGCCATGCTGATAACACGTGGGAAGGGACTCGCTGACCACCTCCGCTCCCAATCTCCCTTTGCCTGGCTACCTGGGCACCTGGTTGCCGAAGGACCTCTCCCTCCTGTACCACCTCAACTTCCTTCCTATCCTCACGACCATACAACAGGACCTGACACAGTGGTCCGGATTGTATCTCACATGGTTCGGTCGCATTAGCGCAGTCAAGATGAATATACTCCCGAGACTGCTTTATCTGTTCGCAACCCTGCCCACGAAGATCCCACAGGAATTTTTTAGGTTGGCAACCACGGCCATACGCAAGTTTGTATGGAACCAAAGACAGACGCGTATCCGCCGGGCGACCCTGGAGCTCCCCAAGATGGAGGGGGGAGTGGGGTTGCCATCTCTACTCCCATACTACCAAGCCGCTCAGCTACACAGGATAATCGACTGGCATGCCCGCCCGGGACCAAAACGATGGGTGACTTTAGAGACGGAACAAACGCAAGGCGGCATCCCGTCCAGACTCTGGCTTGGGAGTGCCACCTACAGGGACCTTCAGACGACTAATCCTATCATAGACGCCACATTGAGAGTCTGATGCACGCTGCGCTATGCCTGGCAGCTGACAACCTCCCCGAACCCTTTGACTCCCATCACGTTTAACCCAGACCTAGCTGGAGGACTACATCCGGCGGCACTTACACGCTTCCACGCCTCTGACTGGAACTACTTACATCAGTGGAGTGAGGGTGGCCAGATCAGAAGCATACAGGAGCTGATGGGAGATCAACCCCCTACGCCGTTGGAATCTTTCCACTATCACCAGGTAAAGTCATATCACGCTCACCTACCAGGAAAGGCCCATATACATAGGCAGCTTACAGAGTTTGAACGAATGTGCACCGATAGGAAACATATAGAACACGGCGTCTCGCGTATGTTTGGGGCCCTCATGCTGACGGCAGATTCGGGTCCCTTAGGCTTCACCAGTAAATGGGAACAGGAGACTGGAACCCAGCTGACAGATCAAGAATGGGAAAAAATCTTCCTCCTGACCCATAAGTGCTCGATAAGCTCCAAATTTCAAGAAACTAGTTACAAACTCTTGACACGGTGGTACCGCACGTCTGACACTCTTAGGCACCTGACACAGGCGGACGTGGGGGACTGCTGGCGATGTGGGGTAGAACCAGGCTCATACCTGCACATTTGGTGGTCCTGCCCACACATAGCTCCATTTTGGCAGATGATTAATACAAAGATCAGGGAGATAACGGGCACAGACCTCCCCCTCCAACCCTTGTAGATGCTCCTGAACCATACACCCACACCCATGAACAAATACAAAAACTCACTCACCATACATCTGCTCACCGCAGCCAAAACACTCATACCCCTACACTGGAAGACCCCGACAATCCCCACATATAGACAATGGGTGGATAAGGTAGAAGCCATTCATGACATGGAACAAGTGCGCCCTCAAATGGTACCCCTGGAGCTCCTACCTCGCGAAGGGTACAGCATGATTAGCAGTAAGACGGAGGTCCCACAGGCACATACACATGACGTACCACACATTAAGTCCAGTAGGACGCCCATAGACTACGACATGCACCAAATCGACTTTCGACCCCATCCGACAGCGAGGACTGGAGGCCACTCCTGGCAGATAAATACAAAGGAAGGGTAGTAGGGCGACAGGACTACATGGTCACCAGCCTCCCACACGCTCCGGATAGAGCATTATAGGCACTTGCTGACACAGGCTGACTTCCACCGGGAACATACGCAGGAGCCCTCCGCCCCGAGTGCCCCACCACTGGAGGCGGAGATACGAGTTTATAATCCGACACCATTCTCCTTGACGAGACCCACAACGGGTGGGGGGTCCCACGGGGTTACACCTGTATCCGACAGGGTGTTGAATAAGCCTCATAGTCTTAATCGTAAGGCGAACCAAACCCCGGGATGAAACGCGTGATGAACGGTTGTAGTCCTAGAATAGGTCCATACAACATTAGCAAGTGGAAGTCTCATGTCACTATACAATAAGCAGCTCTATTTGGTAGGTTAAGTAATGTACGTACTGAGTCTACAAGCAATGATTGAATAGAGACTGTAGGCGTAGGATGGATGGGGGGGGGGAGGGGGCAGGGGCTAGGCGAGAGGGCCACTGCGGGGGGAGGGAGGAAAAGGGAAGAATTGCCACACAACCGCTGTAAGGCTAACGACGACTCATAATTGGCCTATTACTTATTGTACACCGCATTTGTTTTGTGTTCTGTAAAAACTACTTTAAAAAACAATAAAAACGTGAATGACAAAAAAAAAACAAAAAATGTTAAGGCTAGAGTAGCTGAACTAAAAGCATAGCTGACTTAGAGATGTTTTTTTTTCAGAAAGGCATTCTTTTCTATGCTTCTTTAGGAGAAGCATTACTTTCCACTATTCCTAAACTTTTCACTGTGATGAATAACCCTGTATGTTTTCAGCATTTAAGACTCCCATGTACTCCAAATAATGGGGTAATTAGAATAAAATGGGTTCAAGAAAAAGTATAATTTATAAAAATGAGTTTTGCCTGTAAAACCTACTTGCTAGCATGGTGTGTGGTTTGACTTTTGTGTGTAAATCAATACTTTACTGCCGTAAATTAGTGCAACATTAGGAAAACATCATGGCAGTAGTGAATTACAGTTACAAACATTAAAAAATGTTTGCTGTTTTTGACCATAACTTAGTCTGGTGTGGGGAAAAAAGAAAATATACTGGCTGATATGATAATAATAATATACAATATGCAAACTTCCATCTATTCACTCATGCGTGGTGGGAATAACAAATAACTTAACTTTGCATACACAGCTTCCCTTCAGTTACCTCCCAATATGGTAACCAATAACATAATATGTTAGCTGGTATCACTAAAATAAATAAAACAAAACATAGTATAATACTCTTATAGCCTCCAATAGCAAACGCTTAATGGTTGCACTCACAAATTTGATGTGATAAAAAAGCCTTCAGGTTGCCTCCCCTGTTATTGGGGTATATCCCACTCCTGGTGGTGAACCCAATCTGGAAGCCAGAAACTTCAGGAACACCAAGTTGATATTGAAGTACAAAGTTATTTATTGACATATATTAAAATAAATGAATTAAAAAACAACAAGAAAAATGGTCATATGCATTTTGTCCTCCTTGGAGGACTTCCTCAGGGACCAATACTAAAAATGAATACAATAAAACAGAAAATGTCCAGTAAAGCCTAATACATCCCTCCCAAGGTTCCCTTTAAATATGGTTAGTTAGTCTTGGCATTGTTCCAAGCTTCCTTTTGATTGGGTGTCTAATTGGTCTCCCAACCTATCCTTCTGTGTCAGTAGTTGACTCCTCTGTTGCGGACCTTGCATCAGTCCCTGGGGTTGCCCGAACCCATAATGAGTTCTTGCAAACAGATCCGTAACTGCCTGTTTGGGAACCGAACAGAACTTGTGTGGTTCCCTCCTGTTATTGACTTAGAACACCAACCACCCCTGGCTGCTAACTGCAAATAAGGAGTACTTGAGTGCTCCCAAGAACATTTTGTCTCCCGAACATTTTGTTTTATGATCTATGATCTACCGACTGTGAGGAGCATTCGCTCCATAAGAGCAAGGGAGAGCCTTTGCCAGGGATATAATTATTGTGGGGTTCCTGTACTGTTTTATTATGTTTTTGGGATGTTTTATAATATTTTATGTATTTCATGTAACTGAGAGATAATTTAGTTATCTAAATTCCCAGCTCAATTATCTGTCAGACCCAGTGCATCTTGTGAAAATTTCTTGTAAACTTGTCCTGGAGGGAAGCAGGGTGCGGGGACTCGGCTCTCAGAACCGCCCATCGGGTGGCCCCTACCAGCAGTGTGCGCGGCCAGCAGCTGGGCGGGGGATACGGGAAACCACAGAGCAGCTATGAACACTGGCGTACATACCCTCCAGGGGGCCTGGTCGCCCTGCGGACCCCTGCGACCAGGTAATCGCCATTATCTTTTGTGGCCGTGGTCGACGCGGCAAACCACGGGGCCGCCGTCCAAGGGGTCCATCGGGTGGCCCATGCTGTCAGGGCCACCCAATGGATATGGATTGTAAGGGGGCCCGGTCAGCACTGGGCGCTTTAACAGCGTGACCGGGCCCCCTGTGATTACATCACACGCTGGGAGGAAGTAACTGCACGTCACTCCTCCCAGCTAACACTGAGAGCCGCGCGGGAGGAAGACCAGGGAGTCAGAGTGGGAACTCTGACTCCCATCCACCTGAGCCACCACTGGACCCCAGTCACCCTCCTGCACCTAAAAGGTAAGAAACAGAAGGGTAACTTAAATATTGTGTGTGTGTCTTCCTGTATGTATGTATGTGTGCCTGTTTGTACATATGTCTTTGTATGTATGTGTGTTTGTCTGTGTGTGTGTGTCTGTGTGCGTGTGTGTCTGTATGTTTGTGTGTGTGTCTGCCTGCATGTCTGTGTGTGTGTACTTGTCTGTTTTTGTATGTATGAATGTGCGTCTTGTGTGTGTATGTATATGTATGTATGCCTGTCTGTATGTGTGTGCCTGTCTGTTTGTATGTATGTATGTGTCTTTGTTTATATG